CTGTGTCTGTACATCTGTGTGTCCATCTGTGTCTGTCCATCTGTCTGTCCATCTGTGTCTGTCCATCTGTCTGTACATCTGTCTGTCCATCTGTCTACATCTGTGTCTGTACATCTGTGTCTGTACATCTGTGTGTCCATCTGTGTCTGTCCATCTGTCTGTCCATCTGTGTCTGTCCATCTGTCTGTACATCTGTCTGTCCATCTGTGTCTGTACATCTGTGTCTGTTCATCTGTGTCTATACATTTCTTGCAATATGAAATACAATATCAAAATACCTCTGAACTCTAGAAAATAGGAAATATAAAATCATCTCAAGTTTTACCCAAATTAAGACTGTTTTCCAATTTCCTGCCAAGAGCACTTAGTTTGGAATCTCAGTGTAATCATTTCAAGCGTGTTGTGATGCCATTTTGTTTGAGTAAATCAATTATTTGGGGACAACAGGATTCGTAATTGTACACCTGGACTGCCTGTCCAGCAGTGATTGACATGACAGTAGGGAGGACAATCCCGGTAGATGTACATCCCACACGGTGATGGAGGGGCAGACGTCACGACACGAGGGTAGGGCAAGGATGTTGACAGGACAATGTTTACCTGAGACACACCTGGGACACCTGTACAGAATCTGTTAGAATTACCTGTCTGATTGGGCTGATTTATGTACAGGTATTCACTTGTGTTCACGAGGGACTGACATTTAGCTGTTCACATAACCACGGCAACATGGTGTACAGACTTGACCGACATGAACCAAAAGCCACAATCTCAATATTATATTATTTGAATAATGAGCTCCCTGGTTCACAATAATTATGAAACTTGGTTTGCCCCCACCACATCCATATTGGTGGCCATGATGTCCAGTCTGATTTGGGGCGGAGGGGTAGCCCAGCAGTTATAGTGTTTGCTCGTCATGCCGAGGCCCGTGTTTGATTCCCCATGACTACAATGTGTGACGCCCATTTCTGGTGTTCCCCTGCTGTGATATTGCTGGAATATTGCTAAAAGCGGCGTAAAACCAAACTCACTCACTCACTCCAGTCCAATTTAAGCTGATACCAGATTAAGTTCAGGCTGGGTCAAGTGTACCATATCCTGATGGAAGACGCCCATTGTGAGGATCATATTGTAACAGTGTCAGTTGGGTTTGGGCACAATTTGGTGACCAGCAGAAGGTAGATGGCCACCATTTTACAACTGAAGTGTTGCTGAGCAAGTCATTTTCTTTCACTCACTCACTCACTCACTCACCCACCCACATTCTCACTCATGCTATCAAATACTGTTTGTGGTCAATGACCACATGTAAATGACAATATGGTCATAAAATAAAAAACAATTCAAGATCGGTTCTAGTTTTATAAAAGCCTATGTACTTGTGTACACCTGATAAAACAATTCCGTTACTATGGTTATTGCACTGATTATCATGAACTACAGCAGATCTGTACAGAGATGCCTCAATTAGTCCATCATTAAGGGCGTGGTGTACTTTCTGTCACTGATAGGCACCTGATAAACCCACCAACTCCTAGCTAGGAAACAATTACCCAGGCTTAATGGACAGACAATGGTATCCCTGCTTACAATGGAGCTTACATAACTGAGTGGATGCAGATACCAGGAGTTGTTGTATAGCATATCAACAGCCTGGGTGACCCAGGTGGATCAGTTCACGGCCTCGGACCATGTACACACTAGCCAGGCAGAGGTGGAGGCTTGTTACTGTGGGACGGTGTGGGGCAAGGTTAGGACACTGCCTGTCATCAGGTCTGTCAGAGTATTTACATCACTCAACTCACATAGGTTCATGGGTTGTCATTGTCTGGGAAAGACTTACGCCGGTATCCCCCCTTTGATTTCATTCTAGTCACAACATATCACCTGAGGGGCGGTGGGGTAGCCTAGTGGTTAAAGCGTTGGCTCGTCACGCCGAAGACCCGGGTTCGAATCCCCACATGGGTACAATGTGTGAAGCCCATTTCTGGTGTCCCCCGACGTGATGTTGCTGGAATATTGCTAAAAGCGGCGTAAAACCAAACTCAGTCAGTCATATCACCTGAATATGTATTCCTCGTCTGATAAGGATGAGTTTTAATATGTTTTTGTAATTGTATCTGAACATGCTTAAAGACATCCAACTTCTAAAAATGACACTCAAAGAAATTTTTCCTCATTGTTAAAATTTAGGGGCCGAAGTCTTACCGAATTTTGCACTGGGCTGAAGAAAAAATGTAAATTTGTTTATTTCAAACCTGACTGGTCGGACAGCATCTTCATTTATGTGGACAGTTAAGATAAACATTCATTATGAATGTTTAATGGTACCTACCCCACAGAGGGAAAGCTGTAAATGACAAATAAAAACATGCATTATGTGTAGTCAAAACACCTAGAGAGGTAATATAACTTTTCATGAGACACTTGAACTAAAATCCCATTGTAAGAGTCTTCAGTTAAAATAGCAGGAGTCACACAGATCAACACAGACATTGGCAAATGTACGACATGTCGTCTTTACAGGGTTCCAATCAACTTGTACAAGTGCTTACTTCCTTTTATATATTTCAGTACAAACTTAATTGTATTGTACTTGTATTTATTGCAGTGACTGAGATTCAGTGCTATTTTTAGACCATCCCCCCTGAGTGTTTCAGGTTACTGTTACCACAGTGTACTCTTTAGGGATCTGTTGTCGTAGGAGCGAAATGTGTCAGAAATAAGTAATCTCTCATTTAGTCTGGTTGCGGGGAATCACAAATCTTGTCATTGTTTATCAATGAGGTCATCTTACGGTAGTAACCATCTTTGTGAAGCAGTTTTGAAATAACAACAGTGATGTGATTGTATTTCACATCATCATCACAAAGGCACACTTCGTGCTCTGTCATCCATGGTGACTGGTTTATACGACTGCATTACCCCATGTTTGATATGCAGTCAGTATGGGTGCTCTGTGTCAAGGCCAAAGCTGTCTGCCATTTGGATATCATGAGCATACCTGACACTATGTTTAATGATGCAGTAATGTTCCCTGCTTTTTTTCTGTAAAACGTTTTAACAAAATTTATTGGAGAACCGACCCTTGCTGTACTCCACTCTTAGCAGTTTCAGTTACAATATCAGTTTTCTGATGCAGATGTGACAATAATGATCAATAAGAACAACTGGAAGTATTTAAGAAAGGTGCCATCAATATCACAATCAGTCTGCAAACAGAATATTAGTATATTTTATTTGCTTACAAAGAATTCTCGATCAGCATCTCATGTGTTGATAAATAAAGTCTGAGATATTGATGTCAGAGCTTTCCTGTGTAGTGATTAAAAGTAGTGTTATTCAGAGCTGAGGATAATGTAGATGTAGTTAATGGAGCTAATGGTAGTTTAGGAAGAGTAGGGTTTGGGAGGGGTAGACTTTGGGAGGGGGTGTAGGCATTTGTATAACTTGGCTAACTAATTTACACATTATTTGCATGTTGACTGTCAGGGATGGCTTGATAGGGGAATATAAGATGGAGATGAATGAATAATTAATGAATTGTTGATTGTCCTTGTTACCTCAACTGTCACCAAGCATTATGTATTTATCACCTTTCATGGGATAGGTGTGACAGTGTGTGGGTGTGGGTGGGGTAAGGAGGGTAGAGCCGTTGGAGGAAAGGAATAACCTGGGACATGGGACACCAGTCTGAGGGAGGAGGGAGGGTATTCAAGCTGCTCTAGGGAAGAGGGAGGGTAGGGAAATACTGACTACCCTGAGAGAGGGTACTGGTGTCCAGGCTGCACCTGGGGAGGATGGATGGCACACAGAATTCAGGCAACCCTCGGGATTTTATAAAGGGAGAGGGGGGGTGTTACACAGGCTACCCAGGAGGAGGGGGTAGGTAGAACCCAGGGAGGGTTGGGCAAGGTAACCAGGCAGCCCAAGTATCTCCCATTCAGACATTAGGTATGGATGACAGGCACACTGATAACATTGAGAGGGTACATGATATGTATCTGATTGCTTGTCATGTCCAACTTGAGATTAATGTTCCGGTAATCCCACAGTAACACAATCCCTTTGATCACCTTAATGAGACCTGATTTGTTGCTATAACAATGGGGAAATGGAGTCCTTGAGTGGTATTTAGATGTTTGTAGTACACACAGATAACAGCTTCTGTCTTTCTGCTTGTGGTCTATTCTTGCCTCATCTTCAATTGTGAAAATCATTTGAAAAATAAACATTGTATCCTATTATGTCATTTTATAAACTCAAATATTTATAATTTTCCAGGTTGGACATTTTTACATTAATTGATTTGTTATTGAACTAAGTCAGATTTTTTCATATATTCATGGTTTTGCCCAACAGAAACATGTGTGTCCAATCTACAAATATAGTGAAAAAAATATGTTCCAACAAAAGAATTGCATAAAAATACTCATTGTGCCAAATACCTGATAAGAAGTTTATAGGTCCAGTAATTAAACTGATTAGTTAGTGTCTCTAAAGTTATACTTAAACTTCAAGTGTTAATTTTAGATACACAAAAATAACCAGAAATTCGGTTGGCACCATTCCTGAAAAAGATCCAGACTGAGTGGTAACTCTGTATTACCATGAACTTTTAAACATCCACTCTCCAAAATCTATTTTAGCTTTCCTTGGAGACGCGAATTTGTTTGATTTTTTCATTTTAACTAAGGGCAACTTGTGAATATTTTCTGGAAGTTCCTTGGCAGGGATACATTTTGTAAAATTGATTAAATTGCTTTCATTTTCACATGGAAATCTTAATGGCAATTTTGGTTTTAACAATCATATCACATAGAGAAATTAAACTAGCGCCAGAACGTCCTTACAGGAGAGTGAATCATTGTCAAGTCATTTCAGGCTGCAGGTTTAAACCCACAGTAATTTTACTGAAAGCTCAGGAAATCTCCCAGCTCTTTACAATCTTCCTAATTTGCATCCATTGTCAGTTTGAGGGAGACAGAGGTGTCGGGTGGAGCATTCACATCGTCCACACTCACTCGACTGTCAAACCGAGGGAGCATCGCTGTGTAATTTATGCTGATCTCGCATAAAATCCCTCTGGATCAATGCCGATCTGATTACGAGTATCTTCGCTCGGACAGTCAATATTTGCAGGCTAGCAGGGAGAACGCAGGGGCATCTTGTGTGATGCTGGTGTATTGGGAATAGCGTGATAGCACATCTGCCCCTTCTATTCTGGAGAGTGACGGCTTCAGAGGCCACTGGTGGAATGTGAAATAAGTAGTGATCATTGCCTGGGCTTTGTTTGTTACAGAGTGATAGCGAACTGCTAGTATACATGGAATAATTGACCAAGAGCCGTCCCCACGCAGAGGAAGTCAGCGGACATGTGTTAATGTGTGACTGACCAGTGGCCGGCAGGTGAAAGGCCAGCTGAAGGTAAATATATCATGTATGTTATGGTCAGTTTGAAGTGGACATCAGGGGTTGTGACACTGGTCATCAACCTCATGAATGTGCATACATCATTGTTGGGTTTACCACATCGTCCACCACACAGAAGTTCTGCAGCATAGACTGGTAAATAGCATTACTGTTGTCACCGGTGTCATTATCTTGTATATCATTTGCTTCTTGTTAATTGTAATTTGGTATCACTCTTTGGTGATTTATTTCCAGAATTAGCAATAGACTGCTTTCGTTCTTGAGTTTTAATGGTTGGTGCTGGGATGGAATTTTTGGAAATGAGGGAAAGGCTTATCGGAAATGTGCGAAGGATTTGTATGGATAGATCTGAATGTATGTATAATTGCCAGTGTTGCGGTTTGTGTAAATGCCTTTGTTTTCTGGAGTGCTGACGGTGTGGATGAAATCCTAGGAAGCGAAAGTGCTATTTGGATTATTCCTCTCCGTGAGTTATTTTGAGATTTTATCACCCGCCTGGCTGGAATAGATAAATCACTGTAAATGATGGAAGTCGATTCATGTAGAGATTGTCAGTGAAAATCTGGGATGGTGGTTTTCCTGGGATTCACTTTGCTGGATGTTGAATGTGGAACACATCATCTGTAGAAAGAGTAAATAATTATCAACATACTACCGTAGAAAATCACAGGATTTTTTCCGGTTCCATGCCTGGGCCCTGAAGTTGTAAAATTAGCTTTTCTCCTTCACTCCTTCAATTATCTGGTTTTAAATTAAATTTTAGCAACATGGATTTACAAAGTTTGGTGCTGCTTTCTTGTGTGGCATAACGAATATATATGTGACAGAACGTCATTCTCAACTCCCTTGAGGCAAACTCTGTTAATATTTTTAAATCTTGGAATTATTGTAGTCAAAACAAGTTAAGAAAAGTCCTTGTCTTGGAGGATGCTTGATGTTTGTGATGTAATCAGGATGTAAATAGTTTATGAAAACAACAGATTGTGTTACTTTGAAATAACAGAAACAGGCGATATGAAGGGCAACATCGTGTCTGTGATGTAATCAGTGTCTAAACAGTTTCTGAAGCTGCAGTCCATGGTTCTTTGAAATAGCAGTGTTGGGTAAATGATAAACATTCAATATTATCTGTTAAACAAGATACATTGTGTATGTAAACTGTTGTCAAGTAGACTAGACACAACAATATTTACGTTAAGCACTCAGGTAGTTAATGCTATGAGCCCTTTGTTTATGCAGGAACATTGTTGACTCGGAAAATGGTGTGTTAAATACTGCATTGTTCCCAGATTACAGCCTGTCAGAAGGCAACTACACTCATGTGTACTGATATATTTACACACATTTCCTGTGTGTGCGTAGGTAAAAAGGTTTAACACAAGGTGATGCTGGGATTGTGTCTGTATCTGCTGAAATATAGACATTGGGGAGGTCAGATCAGTGTAATCACTTTTCACATAATTTTGTATCAATTGGCAAGATGCTTTTGGAAAAGTAGCACCTGCAATAATACTTATTCAGTGGTGAAATGTATGACTGCAGTGTGCTGATATAGTAAAAAGGTGACTAACAGGATCGTGTGGTCAGGCTCGCTGACTTGGTTGACACATGTCATTATATCCCAGTTACCTAGATCAATGCTCATGCTGTTGATCACTGGATTGTCTGGTCCAGACTCGATATTTACAGACCGCCACCATTTAGCTGGAATATTGCTGAGTGAGGCATAAAACTAAACTCACATCACTCACTCACTCATGTGTTGGTGAGGGCCAGCAGTCAGCAGGGTCAGGGGTGTGTCAGACCCTGTGTATTGGTTGGTTGTGTGTTATACACTGATTACATAGTTCTTTGCTCACACTAATAATCACTGGATTGTCTGGTCCAGACTCAGTGATTTACATACCATTGTCAGATAGCTGGGAAATTGCTAGGTGTAGCTCAACCTCCCAGTCCTCGTTTATCAAGACATGGGTCTCCGTGGTCCAGGTATGACCAACTATATCCATAGTGACTAACAAACACCCAAATGTAAAACAGGTAAATTTACAGCTGTGGCCTAATCTATGCTAACCATGATGATGAACTGTAATCTAACCTGGCTGACAGATGCTTCCTGTGTACACTGATGGTCCAGCTCTACCTGGGCTATATTCCATTTATCACACACGTGGGTGGGCCTGCTCAGTGTTTATTGATTATTGTTGGGGATATGTTGGATAATGCAGCCATCTGTTCAGGTAGACCGACTGGCGGTGTTAATCAGCGATGTTGTAACTGCCATTGGGTGTTAAACCATTGCTTGTGTCAGGCTGATCGGTAATGGAATCACAGGTAATAGTCTCCGTGGCTGATGTCTGCAGGTTAGTGACAAATGTTCATTGCATGACTCTGTAAATGATGAAAGGGCTATGATTCTGGGAATATCAGGATATTGATATGTGAGGACTGTCATGTTTATTGGGGATTTTACTCTGAACGTGCAACACAAATGTCCTTGTTTGTCAAGGGTTACTGATTGCATGAGGAAGTATGAGAGGCATCTGTTGATGCATTTTATGATAATACAGATGAAAATTGACTACCAAAACAATTTGCAATCATGTGATTGTTGTTTACTGCTGCTCTCAGCATGATGGCATCATGTACAGTAGCAGCGTATATGCAGCAAAACTAATAATATATTATAGCAAAGTATATTCAGTAAGACTGATCATATATCATAGTGATAAATATATACCAATGTCAATCTGTATATACACTGCTATGATATGTGATAATTAATTTAACTATGAATATTTAGTCAATGAGATAATGTGTATCCCATTAAATATATTCTTGGGGGATTTGGGGCAGAATTGGTTCCCTGTCGTTTAGTCCTCTGGTACGTAGTATTTAGTTCCGTGGTATTTTGTGCTGAGGTATTTAAGCCTCTGGTATTCAGTTTCTGGTTCCCCGGAATTAGTATTTAGTTCCGTGGTATTTAGTTTTTAGTTCCCCAGTATTCAGTTCCCCCAGTTCAGTTCCCTGGTTGTTTCGAGACTTCAAAGAGCCTGTTGATGTTTTCACTGATACAAGGAACAGAAACACTGTGGCATATTGAGATGGAACAGTTGAAAGCAGACTCTCCCTTTCATGAATATTTTAGATCTGCAAGCCGAACAGCCAAGTGAGTCAGTTACGTCTCTGTTGTCACTATCAGTTGGGGCGAAATATCGAAATATTGTCCCTGACAGACAGCTCATTTCCCTGCCTGTTTTCACTAAATTAATGAGTTGTAAAATATACATTAAACAAAAGAAATCAAATTCAATGATGGATGAATTGTCAAACTTCCTTGCAAGCACGCATAAGCTGACATGCTATGTTTAGATGGATCACCAAGTAATTTGTGGAATCACTCTCTAAAATGATTTTATACTTTGGTCTCTGATGATCTCACTGTTGTCTCTGATGACCTCATTGTTGTCTCTGATGACCTCATTGTTGTCTCTGATGACCTCATTGTCTCTGATGACCTCATTGTTGTCTCTGATGATCTCCTTTTGTCTCTGATGATCTCACTTTTGTCTCTGATGATCTCACTGTTGTCTCTGATGACCTAACCTTTCTCTCTGATGATCTCACTTTTGTCTCTGATGACTTGTTATCTCTGATGACCTAACCTTTCTCTCTGATGACCTCACTGTTGTCTCTGATGACCTCACTGTTGTCTCTGATGACCCAACTTTGTAGCCATTAGGTCTGAAGTACCCTTGTTATCGCCAATCTAGAACAACCACTGCATATTTGCTGTTGTGGAAGATGTTCCCTGTACAGCTGCCAAGATAGATCCAACTACCTGCTTTTTGTTTTAAGAGTCAGCTCAATGGGTCTTGTGGTCAGACTCCATGCTCATTGCATATCATTGAAGCCATTGAATCATAGGATAGTGCTCATTACATCAACCACTGGTTCAGACTCATGAGACTGGTGTGGCTGACTACTCCCAACTGACGGTTGCTCTAGCCAGGGTCCACTGGGATGTCATACTTTGTTTGGTTGTTTTACATGCAACACTCTGTCTCGGTCTGTATATAATCAAGTCTGGGCCAGACAATCCAGTGACCAACATCATGAGTATTGATCTAAGCATTTGGGATATGATGACATGTGTCAACCAAGTCAGTGAGCCTGACCACCTGATCCTGTTAGCCGCCTGTTACGACAAGCATGGGTTGCTGAAGACCAGTTCTAACCCAGATCTTCACAGGGAGACAAGCATGGGTTGCTGAAGACCAATTCTAACCCAGATCTTCACGGGGAGACAAGCATGGGTTGCTGAAGACCAATTCTAACCCAGATCTTCACAGGGAGACAAGTATGGGTTGCTGAAGACCAATTCTAACCCGGATCTTCACGGGAGACAAGCATGGGTTGCTGAAGACCAATTCTAACCCGGATCTTCACAGGGAGACAAGCATGGGTTGCTGAAGACCAATTCTAACCCGGATCTTCACGGGGAGACAAGCATGGGTTGCTGAAGACCAATTCTAACCTGGATCTTCACGGGGAGACAAGCATGGGTTGCTGAAGACCAATTCTAACCCAGATCTTCACGTGGAGACAAGCATGGGTTGCTGAAGACCAATTCTAACCCAGATCTTCGCGTGGAGACAAGCATGGGTTGCTGAAGACCAGTTCTAACCCAGATCTTTATGGGTTAGGATGTCATATTGCAGATGTAACCATGGTTACAGTTGAGCTACTGTCGTAGTACTATAGTATTAGGTTTTGTAAAGCAATACGCGAAATATCAGAACATATTTGAGCAAACAAAATTGAATACAATTTTTCCTGTGTACATTGAAGTCGATTATACTGAGCAATTAATTTATTTTGGACAATCAGCTTTAGTTTCCAAATGTCTATTGACAATCGAGTAATGTCATGCAGTATCTATGTTGTGTTGGTGGTACCATGGGAAATACCGAATATATCTCATCATTTGCCAC